TGCTCGTTATATTAACGAAAATGTTAACCGTGCCTATTACATATTTAATTTAATGATAATAAACAGTCATACTCAAAGAATATACATCTTTGAGATAAAAAATGTTACTTCACTCACAGGCTCATCAGCTTGGTGTGGTACTATCGCCAGAAAATCCAAATAGCCTTTTAAGAGACCAACTTAAACTTCTTAGTAGGTATTTGTATGAAAGAACAAATACCTACTAAGAATAAACCGGTCAAGTACGAGCTGGACTCGCCAACCGAGGGATCCGTACTAGGGTTTGTAGGTTGGTAAACCTATATTTGATGTGATATAATGATATTCCAGTTGGAAAACTAGCCAAATTTATTGTATTTTGTTTTTTTTCGGCCCCCATTAAAACCATAAATTTATGAAAAACACGCTTTTTTACAGCATAAACGGCTATATCGTTTTTTAATTTGAAGTTAGGAGGTTGATTTTTTAACCATATACTTGATATCTGTACCCGTTTCTAAGATAAACGGTCTTGACAGAATGATAGACAAGACGGACAACAAAGTCATGATGATATAAGGGTTCCGTTTTTTACCTTTTGAGGTACGGAACCCTAATAAATAACCAGTATAATGTGATCCCTTAAATGGGTAAGTAGATTTTCTGGCGACAGTACAACTATTATTACAGACAGCCTCACCTTCTTTTAAATAGTTGGCCAGAATACTACGATATTTTACGCTTTGCAAGCCAAACATTGAACCTTTGACCACACTCGTACCCAACGAGGGGATGGCAAGGTTATTAAAAACCCTTTATTGTAAAATCGTGTGGCTGTCACCAAACAAAACAAACAATAGCAACTGGTGCGTAAAATTGATTCGGACTCGAAATAAATGTTTGCCTCTCTCTGTAACCAAAGGCGAAATTGTAATTGGATGATTTCCAGTTTTTATTTTTGACTTGTTTGTGACATATTCAGTTTCGGCATTACACCCGCCGGCTACACAGTCGTTAGGGGTTACCGCTAGCACCGATCGATGTTTACATCATTAGTGCTGTAAAATTAATCCTAAGACCAACTACTATTACTATCGCAGATCGCAGCTCCAACATGCATACCTACCATAATAAAATAATACTATGTAGGGAAGTTCGTTTTCCTGAACAATGCCGTAATCATTTGTTACTATCGGCAAAAAACAAAATGAATCATCCTTCCTCAATTCGATTTGTGAACATCTTTCTTCTACTAATGTTTTATTCAGTGGGCGCCAGTAAATAAGTTTAGTTTCGGACAAAATGTTCCCAAGTGACACAGATACAAAATGTTACAAACGCAAGTTTTCGTCGGCGGAAACAACTGCAGACTCTAATAGCTAGCAATAGTAAAGGCCAGTGAATAAAAAATGCGGTTTGCAACTGCAAATAGCTATTGGTTTATGTATTCTTTGCGGGGGAAACTGGCCATCCGTCAAAGTCGGCTTTATTTATCGTTTTAGTTGAATTTTATCGAACTAATAGCTTCGGAGATAAATTTACGATTGGCAACGGAATTCCACGGTGAAAAGGGTTGTTGGAACGTAGGAATCTCTTTTCGATGAACAAGTACAGTATAAATCGTTTATCGGACTTCAAATGGTTTTTAAGATATTTATTGGGGATATCGAGAAAGTTATCGTTTAAGTTAATGCAAAGAAACGAAAAAAAAGCACATATTTTACAATAAGTCTATTCTACTTCTTCAAAGTCTAATATTATGTACTTAACTACTTAATTTTAACTTTTTGACACTGAGTTCTCTAAATACCTACACTACCCCACAAAAATGTTCTACAAAAGCTACTTAGTCAAATTAGCTTTAGAACGATTACTACCGAAAACGATTATTTCTTGATGGTCCAAGTTTTTTTTCTCGTAGTTATTTTAGTACCTATTTTTTTATTAGTAAAAGACTAGTAACATATAATATCCTTGGTAAAAGATATATGAGAACAAATACTGACACAGAATATATGTTATCATATCGACAGGTGAAAACAAAATCCCAATAAAACTTAAACCAAGGAAAAAGGTGAATGTATGGTAGGTAGTCTACTCGTTTCACACAACACATTTGTCACCAGCAGCGCTTGTGAGATATCAAATAAATGTCCCATGCTGAGGACATTTTTCACTGTACAGATATCGGTGATTTGTGGATCAACGAACCATAGCATTTCTTATTTTATAATGATACCTGATTCTGAGTAGTTGCAAGTAGCTCTTTGCCTCCTTCTGATTATTTTGTACCTATGTGTATCAAGAAAGCGTAGGTAATGATGAATGATCAAAAGTTCAAAAACGGTTTAGGTAAATAGATTTCGAAAAACTTAATTCTCTTTAGTTACAGATATTTATAAAATGTTCCGTTCACCGTATGATGCTGGCTTAGAATAGAATCACTCTCTAATACATGTGGGTATCGTAAAATGCGACTAAAGGATAATCATCCTTGGATTGGGCAGCATCATTCCCCCTCCTGGGTGCCCCACCCTAACACTCCTGATCCTATCTACTTGGCCAATCGGTTTCTTCAAACAGGGAGTCAGTGTTTAACTCTGTACAGGAGCAGTATAATACAGCTTTCATGGTGGTGCTGCTACCAAGAGCAAACGGAGGTACTCCTCGCTTTTGCGTCCTTGCAGCAGAACTGCTGGCTGGTGTGGTCACCGGAACGAAACGAAATGGGCAGCATCGTTCCCTGTAAATGCAACATCTTGCACTGCTCACGCCAATCCGCCTGCCAAGCGTGCTGAGTATGATAATGTGAGCAATACCCTCCAAAAGAGGGAGGCAAATATCCAGCAGTTGACTGTTGTGGTTATGAACCCTGCAATCCTATAGTCTACCTACAGTACGGCCGTTCGTATAGGACATAATTCACAGCAGTTAAGTCCATACTAGAAAACATGTTAACAAAGAAACATTAGGATGATTTTGATAGCTGTCAAAAACGGCCATTTTGGACGGCCGTACTGTAATAAATTTTATCCGTTATGAAAATTTTATTTACCATATTTAACAGCTGTCACAACCATGCTAATGCTTTGACAGAAGGTCTATTTTTCTTTTTTGATATGTCTTCTAGTTCTAGCTGTCAGCTGTCTAATATGGCCCATTTGAACGGCTGTACTGTAGATGGACTACGAAGGGAAAAATAAACTTGCCCGTGGTCTACCAGGTGGTCTAGCAGGTGGGCTATGTATGGGGTTGCAGGGGCTATGAAATGTCCAGTATCTAGACACACGGCAGTGTGTCCGCCAAGTTCAAGCAAAAAAAGCGACACACCGGCCGTGGGTTATATTACACGAACCATTTCGGGCCAAGTTCGACCCACCTATAACTCAAAATCTATTTTATCTACGCATATGAAATTTCTAGTATCTGTCGAGATCTACTTAATTATCTAAAATACAAAATTTCATTAATGTACCTATTGTAGGTCTTGAGACATTGACGTCAGAAAATCGCTATTTTTACTATACACTCACTGACTCACTCACTCACTCATCAAAAACCTAGACCACTTCCAATGGTCGTATTGACTTGAAATTTGGCATGGAGGTAGGTCTTTAGGTCAAGGTAAAGGAAAAAATCTAAAAATGGCCAAATGTGAGTCGGTTTTAAAAATAATGAAGGTGTAAATTCATACCCCTAAGGAACTAAAACAAAAAAATTATCTATATCTTCCAATCGTCGTACCGACCTAAAATTCGTTACGAAGGTTTGTATTTAGTCAAAGTAAAGTATAAATGAGATATATATTTCCTTACCTAACTTAATCATAAGAAAAAAAGAAAATAAACCTTACAAAAATAAATGAAATCCCACCCAAAACATAAATGTGAAAGGCTGCCAAGTTAGGAAAGTAGATCTACTTTCCAAACTGCGAAAAATCAAGTGTGCATTCCTGTAACTATTTTTAACTGAGGTCTGTGTATGGAACTTGGTACTTATTTAGATCTCACTTCTTTTATAGGCGAAGCATTCCAATATTATCGAACTTGGCAGCCTTTCACATTTATGTTTTGGGTGGGATAAAACTATTTTCTTAAATTTTCTTCCTGTAGGGTCATAATATACTTATACCTACCACTTACAATTGAAGCTTTGTTACCCTGAACAATAGTCTTGCATACTTTGTGCCCAAACAAATATCGAACATTAGTTCGTGTACAGCTAAAATAGTGATTCCATTGTGAATGCTTTTATCGCCACAAAAGTGATCGCCAGACTGTGAAATGTCCTAGTATTTGTCAATGGTGCACATGAGAACACTATTTTGTTGTGTGCATTAGATACTACATCTACTAAATAATAAATTTCGGTACTTATATCTTGAGTCATCTTGGACATTGTACAGCGACGATCAGTGCATAAAAAGATTGTTGTACCGGCATTTTATACAGGAGAAACTGGAAACTTGTTATTAAACATACAGCTACATTACAAGCATCAATTTAGGCGACTGATATGCTGCCAGCTTACGCTGTAAAGCTGCTGGATTATCTATCAAATGCTTATTTAGTATTAAGAATCGCAGTCGCAACTGCATGCCTACATGTAGATATGATGCACATGTCAAGACAAAGGCGATAATACAGATACAATAAACCAGATAAGGAGCAATAAAATCTAAGGCGTGAAGCAATAAGAAAGACAATATTAATTACTCTATCAAAACAATTTTCCGTATTCATATACCTCAACTTTACCCCATAGAAATAAAGTTGTTTTTGCAATATTGGGGTGCGCAGTTGTTTGTATGGCAAGACGTATTCCATAGGGCAAGGGACGGAAGAATGCCTAATATATGGTGTTTTAGGTAATTAAATGTCACATAGATCAGAGATTAATGATGTGTTACGACGTGGAGAGATGGAGAGAATCTTCGCCGTCCGTCGCTTTATTTGTTTGAAACCTACACATAGAGGAATTAACAGATTTGTTACATGTTTTGAAAAACTTTCAAAATTTATCACCGCAGACAGGATTTGAACCTGCAGCCCTCGGCATATGTATGTACTGCCGATGCCACTACCAACTGTGCTACCGGGGTTCTAAAAAGTGACTTATTCAAATGCCATTTTAAGTTAAAATTATTTTTATAAACTGTGTGGTAACTAGTATTTACCCTTATAATATAGTATGGTAGGTAACTGACAGTAGCTGCAGCTCGGGTGTTGACATAGCAAGTATCTAGGCTAAGTCCACACTTGAGCTACACCCAAATTTGGATGATAATAGTGTGTTGGACATCTAGAGATCTCGAAATTTTGATCTTTTAGAGCTCACATTACGCGATTAGGTACTCATCATCATTGGCCTCATACGTCTGTGACAGACGATTTATTCAGTGTCTGAGGCAAGATGAACATTATAATTCGTATTCAGTACGAGTAGAAACTAATATTACCGCAATGTAAGCAATAAACCGCACTCGGATAGTTTCATTGACTATAAACGTTGCCGTACTCAGAATAACGACTCAAATAATTAAATCTGGAAACACCTTACCTCCCAACTCTTCAGAAGTCATAGAAAACTCGCATGAAGAAACTTAAAACTCCAATTTGAAGAAGTTATCTGAAAAGTTTTTGAAATAGAGTTTTTAATGGAACCCTCCCGAGTGTATGGCTAAGTTAGTTAATAGCATAGTGCATGTACAATAGTGGACATCAGGTGTTCTGCACCAACTCGAACTAGTTTCATGTTTGGATATTAAAAACATATTTAGAGTAAGTCCAACACGCTAAAATAAAGGGTTTCGTGTTTTTATATTTTTAACACAATTAGCACCATAATTGGTACGTTTTAAAACATCAGAAATCTATTTCAAAACGCCTTTAATTTTTTGAATACAAGGTGTTCCAATAGAAATACATTAAATTGGAGACGTTGTGTAGACCATCGTTCTGAATAATTTTCATTATGGGGCCAAGTTATAAAAACCCTTCGTTTAGAAGTAATTAGCAACTAAAGTTTGCTAAATTTAATTGAGTGCCACATTATGAAAAGGCCTTTATTGATTAAAACTTTTATTTATAGTCTAGTAACTAACGTCAATAGCTGGTTATAACTATTCGGTTTGACCTATGAAGCTGAAAATCGGCATGTAGGTACTTCTTGACCTCCTGATCAAAATTAGACATGGAGCCCAGCGGGCACCACCTCCCCCCACTTTTCGAGATTTTGGGCCCCGTGGGGGGCCTAAAGGGTAATTTTGAAGGCACAATAAGCTTTAAGTGAGATTTTACGCACGATACGAAACTAAAACTACCCTCCAAGTCAATTACTTCAAGAGTTACACCTTGTAAAGGAGGGGGGGTGGTAAAAGGTTAAGGGGGGGTGAAGCCCGCTGGGCTCCATGTCTAATTTTGATCAGAAGGTCAAGAAGTACCTACATGCCGATTTTCAGCTTCATGGGTCAATCCGAATAGCTGTGACGTTAGTTACTAGACTATTATGTCATGTTGCCGTCTTGGAAAAACTTTTAATATTACCGCCACAACTGTTGCCAAGGCAACGGTAATGGCGGTAATTTAGTTGCCAAGGTAACAGTATTGCCGTAGACCAAGGTCAAATGTCATGTTTGTCAAAAACTGACACAACCAAGACACAACTGACACTACAGACTCAACTGAGCTCTCTGATTGGCCCTTTGTCTGTGCGTCTCTATGGGTGCTCTAAGTCAAAAGGAGTTTTTAGTTTAAGGCGGTAATTAAATAAAGCTGACATCAACAAAATAGAATTTTTATCACAAGTTTTATTTTAAATTTAAAACATAGACAACTATGTTTCGAACTTTTTCAAAGATTCTAATACAGTGAGTTAAAAATGCAAGGTTGCAATCTTGCTTAAGGGGTAATGAATAATGATCGTAGTAAATGTAGGTATTTAGTTTGTATGAAAATTTCAACTTTTTAATTGTTAAGAATAGGTGCCATAATGGAAATTGTTCAGTACGATGGCCTACACAACATCCCCAATTTAATGTTTAGAACACCTTGTATAGAATCTGGCGTTGTAATTTAGACCCTTATTTTGCAAGTTTATCATTCAGCATCCAACTAAAAGAAAATGTAAGTAACTTACGGCTCCAAAGATTCAAACAAAGTGCAAACCTACTTATGCACGTTTTTTTGTTCTCAATGTCGCGAAACCTTCTCAACTGTTAACTTTGCTGTATTGTGTCCCCCGGCGTTACTCTCCGGAAACAGGAAGTGCCGCGCCGCCCGGAAGAACCGGAACTAGGTGCAATAATTATTAATTGCCAGTCGCTAAGACGGCAAACCGCTTCTCGAGACATTTTCTCGGCGGGGTGTCCGCCAATTTATGATTTAGCAACATTGTAATGAATTTTGTTTTGATTAAATTGCTTGCGTAAGAATTTTATGATTTATGTTTTGTTATATGGGCACAAATAGTAATTTGTTAAGACTCCTAAGTACTACAGAGTATTGAGCAATTGATACTGCTCTCAGATTTGGTGTAGGTATACCTAGTACTGTAGTAGATAAACAAACAATATACTGTTGGAATAGAGGTGTGTAACCCAAGTTACCGATATTTCCACAGAAAGGCCTTTTTCTTCACTTTGTCTATCAGCCCTCTACAACGTGTTCCAATTGAACGACCCCTCAAAACCCTTAATTTATTCTTTCATTGCGTCTTATTATTTGCAAATGGTCTATTTGTCGCGACTTAACCCTTGCAACGCAGATGGGGTCCCATAGACCGCGGATTACGGCCGCCTGCCTCAAACCGTCAAACGACGTCGTTTGCTCTAAACGTCCACAATTTATTGATAAGGACATTGACAGATATTGCTCTAGATCTCGTAAAATGCAAGCGGCAGATTAAGGGTTGCCGAGTATTTGCAAATGGGACCAGCGTTCGCAGGTTCGCGTTCATTAGGTACGATCGCTCGTTTGTGTGTGGCACGGGCTTTAAGTATTTATTCGGGATTAGCGTTTTTAGGGTAAACTTGATACGTATGCTTAAAGTGGGAACGTACACACTATTTCATTTGGACGATAAAATTTATGCTATAACTATGCAATAGCAGTAATTTTCTTGTATAGGTAGATCTGCTTTGAGATGTACCTACAGTATGTTTCCTCATTTTCCCTTGGCCAAGCTAATGGCGTCTTAATAAGAGACGAAGTTGTGAAAACCGTCTGACACGACGAGAACATATTAATTACCCTGCTCACTTTAATGCTTCTCCTGGAAATGATTGATTATGGCCGCAACACCGTCATATTTCACCACCAGTCGTGCATTTTTCCTATACACAATGTTCGTATGATTTATCCGCAGTAAACCCTTCTAACAGCAGTCACAGCTATATCAATGAATGACTGCACTTTTTCAAGAAAAAAGTAAACCTAATGTAGCCTAAACAGCGATTTATTGATATTATTCGAATGCATCATAAATAATATACAAGCGGAAGGGTCAAACGCCTCTTTTATTTTCCATAATGGTACTTACTGAGGGATATTATTCAATGGACAAACGAAAGGGGCAAAGGCGCCCTTGTTGAGAAAATGCTAAATTTGCCATCAGAAGCTGGTCATTCCGGGGTTCTGCGGCGGACATCGCGATATTTTGCCTCTTTTGTATTTCCTTTCAACTGATTTCCTTGTGAATGGCTTGGAGGGTAATCTGCTGGGATATGTTACAAGCGGTGCATCTAAATTGCTGTTCTCTGTCTTAGAAATATAATTTTTATTTTATAGATTCGCTACTGTGTTAGATGACTTAGGCTAAAGTTCTATATTTTTTAACTATTGGGCATAACAAAATTTAGTTATTATTACTGACACCTATAGTTGAGACGGCCACTCGCTGCTTTCGCCGCCAAATGACAATTGTATGGCGCTCCCATTCTGATTTGAATTTACCTCTAAGTAGCAAAGGGAGCGCCATAGAACTGTATTTTGGCGGCGAATGCAGTGATTGGCCATCTCAGCTATAAACACATTTTGTGTTTTCAAACGCTGATATCTTTTGACTCGACTCGCCGTTGATGGTCGAAGACTTTTGCTTGCAGCCCGCTTTTTTACCCATTTTCCGAGCAATAAAACCCTGTTGAATCCGACACGCATTTCAGGGGTTAGGTGGCTGGAAAAAATGTGACTTTAATTTCAACTTGGAGCGTTTTTATTCCGAGTTGCTAATGATCGGCAATTTACAATCTGTCGCGTGGATGGATATGTCCTTTAGAATCGTACGGGAATTGTAAAAATCATACCTACTTTTAAGTGCTCGTAGTTTTAGAAAGATTATTAAAAGGACTTTATGGACGTACCTACAGTTAGTTTAATAGTATCTACAAGTCCGTATTATTACAATGAAACCGCCAAATGTTAGTAAAGCTCTAGGTTATATCAAACAGGTTAGGTATACGTATTACGGAACTCCATGTTTTGGAGGTATCCAACACTCTCTTGGCAAAACACTTAAATGAGAGTATTGGCGCGCTCTCCATTCAATTATCTAATCACATCTTTAAATAGTTGTTATAAATTATTCATAGTGTTTGTCATTCGAAATGGACATCGGAGTGACCGACAATGGCACCCTTGCCTCCTGTCCACTAACAAAAAGATTGTTAGGATGCCATTATGTATGCAGATTGGATTTCATTCGAAACCCGTGTAAGTAAACTATTAATGGGGTTTGCCTTCCAATCGTAAAGTTAATTCATTAACTCGCTATTCTGTTTGCATGAAATCTATGCAAATAGGTTAAGGTAATTAAGTGCATTAGGTACTCGAGCATAGGTATCATTATTAACAGTGAATTTGCATTGCCATTATTTCCAAGTGAGTGCAGCACTAGATTCCCGCTTGTAGTTAGGTATAGTCTTTGTGAGTTAGCTTGTGGCAGGTTTACCAACGTGATGTCATTGGTGATAGGATATTTCTTCGATACTATGATATTGACATACCTGCAAAGAATGTTGGCTGAAAGTACCGACATGAACAAAATTTATAACCTCATGATAAAGTTATTAGATAAAAGCCACGATTATTATGGACGGTCAAAAAT